TAATTGAAGAAGATAAAAATAACATATTCTTAAAATTGAAATGATTTTTTTTATTTTATTATAATAATGTAATTTTGAGATGTTTTCCTCTTAATTTTTTTAGATTATATTGATAAATATTAATATTATAAAAAATATTAAAATATTTCTCTTAGAAAATAAATTTAAATTTAAATTGATTTAACAAGAAAAATTATAAATTCAACCATAAAAAGTAAAAATGTACCTCCATATCAAAAGGAAAACACTTTAAACTTTTACATATAATATTAAAAAAAATAAAAAAATGCTAAAAAAAATTATAAATTTAAAATTTTTTAAATATATAACCAAAGATTTTTTTGACCTAATAGATGAAAAATTGTTTAAAAACCTTAATTCTTAATTAATTAATTGACATAAATTTATTTTACTTGAATTATATCCTTACTTTTCGAAAATATTTTATTTGAATTCTAAATATTTCCTTTACATTTGAAATGGTTATTGAAATTCATACTATAAAAACAAAATTTTTAACATGTAAAAGTTAGAGTACCATATTAAATGTTTTTCAAAAGCTTAGGGGGGCGCTGCCTCCACTTGTCCTTCATTGGCTCCGTCCCTGAAGAGCCGCCTTCATCGCCACTCTGTTTTCCGATGCGGCTGGCTTCAGATTCTGAAACTAAACATTTCTCGCACGGATCAGATTCCAACAGGTTTAGCCATGATATTAGCAAAATGCCAGATAATCCACCGAAGAATATAGGCCATCGCCGCGCCCATTTGGAAATTCTCACTCTTCCGGATGATATTAACTTTGATAGTGATCTTGGGGTTGTAGGGGTTGCTGATGGGCCTTCCTTTTCTGATGAGACCGAGGAGGATTTGTTTTCCATGTATCTTGATATGGACAAGTTCAATTCATTTTCAGCTACATCGGTGTTTAAAGTGGGTGAGTCCTCGGCCACGGCAGCGGCTGCCCCAGGGTCTGCTGTGCCTGGCGGAGCGGGCAGGAGAGTGGGTCTGCTGAGAAGCCTAGGATTAGGCACCAACACAGCCAGTCCATGGATGAGTCAACAAGTATTAAGCCTGAAATACTTATGTCTGGTTCTGAAGAGGTGTCCCCGGCTGATTCGAAGAAACCCATGTCAGCTGCTAAGCTGGCTGAGCTTGCTCTTATTGATGGTTCTGGTAAGAAATGTTGATCCATGGTTTTAGTTTTGGTTTTGGTTTGGTTTGGTTTGGTTTGTTATGCTGAGCTCGAAACCAGTTGTAAATTGTAATTGTCATGTGGTAATTACGGGGCGCATCTGAAGCTGTTTGTTCAACCTAATAATTTTATTTCTTTAATGAAATGATTTTTTAGTATAAAATTTAAAAAACAAAAATATCTTTATGCATAAAAATTCATTAAAAATATTTATTTATGTTTTCACTGTTTTTATTTTTTTATATTTCCCCAGCCAAGAAAATGCCAATAAATATAATTTCAAAGCGGTTGTCCCCTTTTCTCCTCTAGCCACGAGTAGTGAAAAGCTTGAGAGGTGGACGTAGCTAAACTGGAAACTCCGTCGTTTAACCAGACGAGTAGGTGACGCAGCGACATCCTGAAAGAAGAAGAAACTGAAGGCAGTGAGATGGGGCTGGAGG